AATGGGATAACGGTTTAATTTGTAATTTTATACATTTTCCTATCAGACATCGTGATGTTTTGCATGCTGATTGGTTTAACGTAGTGTGTACTTGATTGGAATTCTTTCATCATTCTTCCTTTCAATAGAATACTCTTAGAATGTATTATACAATCTGGAGAGATGTGGCTGATTCCCGTATAGTTCAAAACTACTTCTTCACTTTCAATATGACAAATTACATGAATTGTTGTTAAATTTGGTGTAATATCCAAGCATTGGGCGCCCAAAGCTTTTTCCAAACTGCTTGTATAATTCGATTGCTTGATATATATTATCATCAATTCTTTCCGGAATCGTGTTGAATCTAATGATTTCATATTCTTCTATACCGCTAATTGTGAAATAACCATAAATTATAACGTTTTCAGTATCTCGAACATATTCCAATCTGTTCATCGGGATTGGCAAGACATACATTTCTGGTGCAATTTTTGTGGAACATCGAGTTATAATGTCACTGATTTCATCATGTGAAAGGAATTCATAAATATGACTGCGTTTCAAATATACATTGAAGATCTTGTTGTATTTTGATTCTACTTCTCGAATGTAATTGGATGCCATTATATATGAATTAAGTACGTATATGTTCGGTTTATTTCCTTCTCCGATATCATGCCAACCTTGCATCTGACTGATAGCCTGCAATCCTTCGTTTAGTCTTTTACTAAAGCTGTTGATTTTGTTGACGATTTTAGTTTCTGTGTTGTTTACTGCCGCTATTGTGGATATCATGATTCTAGCATTTGATTTGGTGTTTTGGATTAATAATTTCTGGTTCTGATCCAACGTTTCAATATCGTGATTCACTTCATCGTTTACGCCAAAAAGTGTTGTTAACACTGTACCTAATATTCCTCGGGGACTTTTTGTAACTGATGATTCTGTCGTCAACAATCGATCAATGGTAGTTCTTAAGATGCGCCCTTCATGATTTAAATTGGAAACTAAATTGTCACATTGTATATAAGGATTGACAGCCTTTGACTTGGTACACAACATTGTTAATTGTTTTATGATGTTATTAACGTTTCTTTGATCTTGAATTATGTCACAGATTGGAAATGTGATAGTGGTTCTAAGTTTTCCTCTTTGTATTTTTGCCTTGCCTAATCCTTCAATGAATAATCCTGATTCGGAATATGTTAATGTGGGTGTTGCTAAAGTAGTTCCTAATGTGAGATATGCCAAAAATATAGCAGGAACTGTCGATTTTGATTGCCTAGCCGATAACCATTGTCGTCGCGTTCTAGGATCTCCTACAGTAGAGTTTGTCGGAACTACTTCTTCATTTCTGACAATGTTTCCCAATGGTAATATATTTTGAGTGTCTGAATCTGCTTTGGTTGATGTTGCTTCAAACCCTTTACATTCTTTAACTGACTTTGGGAACTTCTCTTGATTTGACGGAATATGATCTTCTTTGACATTATCAGTGATTGGCAGAGGACATATTTTTTGTATCGTACGTTTTACTATTCCTTTTTGGGTTTTAATTGTAGCAATGGTTAAGCCATCTGTTCCTTTATGAACTTCTATGACTCTGCCTAGAAGCCACGTTGATGATATTAATGTTTCGTCTTTCAATAGAACTAGTTGATCAATTTCTAAGTTTTGTCCATTTGTATCCCTGTTGTTGAATGTTTCTTGTATAGTCTTTTTAGGCTGGTTCTATGACTTCTATGACTCTGCCTAGAAGCCACGTTGATGATATTAATGTTTCGTCCTTCAATAGAACTAGTTGACCAATTTCTAAGTTTTGTCCATTTGTATCCCTGTTGTTGAATGTTTCTTGTATAGTCTTTTTAGGCTGGTTTCTGTAAAGTTAATAAGACTATCATGCGCTGGAGTCATCAATGACGATCCCACAATGAAATGTCCTGGTGTAAGTGCATTAAGGTCTTCAATGTTGTCTGTTAATGGACAAAGTGGCCGTGAATTAAGAGAACATTCGATTTGAGTTAGGACCGTGCTTAGTTCCTCGTATGTTAATTTTTGGTAACCTAAAATTCTAGCTAGATGAAATTTGATGGATCTTACTCCTGATTCTCAGAGACCACCAAAGTGAGGTGAGCCAGGAGGGATGAAATGCCAACGTATACCTGTTTCGGATATATGATTCTCTATTTGAATCTTCTGTAAAATGTTGTTTGCACCTGTAAAATTGGTACCATTGTCGCTATAAATATGATGTACTGCGCCACGTCTGCTTATCATTCGTTTGAGTGTTGCTAAAAATCCTTGAGATGTCAGATCTGAAGTTAACTCAATGTGAAATGCCTTTGTTGCCAGGCATACAAAAATAGCTATATACGCCATATGCGTTTTAATTCCCCTGAATTGAAATCATTTAATGTGCAATGGTTCTGCATAGTCTATGCCGCAGTGTGTAAATGGCCTTGAGAAATTTACTCTTGGTGTTGGTAAACTTCCCATTAATTGAGATTGTCCTTTTGCCTTCATCCGGAAACACTTTACACATTTATTGATGCAAGCTTTTACAGCGATTGTTCCACGAATAATCCAAAACTTTCCCCAGACGTGATCGTATTAATATGCGCCTGATTGATTATGAGTTTGGCCAAAGTACTTGTTGTATGTAAAATTATTGGATACTTATAGTTGTCAGATAAATCCGCATTTCTTAATCTGCTGCCCACTCTTATTACTTTACATTAATTGTTTCTGAAGATTAAGCCATCTGATGTCATCTGCAAAACATTATTGCGCCTGCTTTACCAACACAATTTCCGCTGCATCGGTATCGTCTGCCGTCAGGTTGCCAAACTTTCTTTCGGATTTCTTTCTTTGACAATTATAAACGAATCTAAGACAGTAAGCTGTCACTCGAAGAAGTTTGTTTAATGAGGAAAATCGATTAATAAATTCTTCATCGTTGGTAACGTTCACGACGGTACATATTGCAGTTTTTCTGGTTTCTGGAATAAGATTCAATTCTATTACTTCATCATTTTCTGGCCAATTTCCTTCATCTTTTATTAGCCAATTTGGACCATGTCACCATAATGCATTTGAAATAAGATTGTCACCATATACTCATCTTGATGGAATATCTGCTGGATTATCTTTTCCAAGAACAAATCTAAATTGCCCTTTAAACGTATCCTGAATATACGATAATCTGTTTGCTACAAACGTAGTCCATCTGTTTGGGTATTGCTTTAGCCAGTTTAATACAATTTTTGAATCTGACCATGCAATAATTTTACTATAGGTAATCTAGTTATTCTTCTGAATGTAATTAATTAACTTTGTTAATAGCACAGCTGCACATAACTCCAATCGGGCTAATGACACCTGCTTAATATGCGCAACTTTGGTTTTTGATACTATTAGGGATATTGTAGCCCTTTCTGCATTGATAACCTTTGTGTATACAACTGCAGCATCTCCTGTTTCTGATGCATCTTCAAATCCATGTAACTCGATTAAACTATTCTCTGAATGTTGTGTCCATCTTTTCATGATAATTTTCTGAACTGCAGGTAATCGCAATTTAAATTCCTCACATTGTGCTTATAGATTAGGTGGGATCTCTGTATCCCAACTAATTCCTAACATCCACAATTTTTGTATCATGATTTTTGCTTTAATGGTTACAGGTGACAGCCAACCAAATGGATCGAATAGTTTTCCAGCATCACTTAGAATTGCTCTTTTTGTGTATTTTGAGCTGAATGACGTGGTATTTATTTTAAATTCAAATTCATTCATTTTAGGACACCATTTTATTCCTAAAATTTTAATTGCTTGGTCGTTGTTAAATTGTATCTTTAATCCTGGTTCAATGTCTTTTATTTGGATATTCGTCAATATTTCCGGTTCGTTTGATACCCATTTACTTAAATTAAAACCTCTTTTCCGCAATAGTAGGATTAATTCTTCTTGTATTTGTTTACATTTTTTAATAGTATTAGCGCCTCTTAAACAATCGTCTACATAAAATTTTTCATTTAAAGTTTTACTTGCCAAAGGATAATTAATTCTTTCGTCTTCTGCTAGCTTAAACAACGTCTTGATGGCAACATATGGTCCTGATGCAGTAGCGTATGTAATCGTGTTCAATCTATATTCTTTTATTGATTTTTTCCGATTGTTTCTCCATAAAATTCGTTGAAGATCTCTATCATCATGATGAATCAGTATTTGCCGATACATTTTTTCAATGTCAGCCGTAAAAACTATTTTATTCTCCACTGTAATAATAGAACGAATAAATAAAATAAATGTAACGTAGGGCCTGTCATCATAATACTGTTCAGTGATTGCCCTGATGTCGTTTTTGCGGACGAGTCAAACACCACTCGAAGTTTTGTTGTCGTGCTGTCTTCTTTAATAACTGCATGATGCGGCAAATAATATACCTTTGTCTTTAGTTTCTCATTAACTTCTTTCATGTGACCCATGTAATGAATGTATTCTTGCATAAAGTTCACATACTCTTGCTTTAGTGCTGGATTCTTGGATGCTGGATTCTAGTCGTTCTTCTAGTGAAAAGAACCATTTCAATGCCATCTTTCTGGACTCACCTAACATTTCTCGATCATTTTTTAGCGGTAATCTAATGATGTATGGTATCGACCTGTTTTATCGCGGGTGCAAGTTGAATCATAATGTCTCTCACAATGCCTTTCTTTTACTGTTCTTAAGTCTGCATTTGGAATTTCCTCTAATTCCCAAAACCGTTTTAAATACTCGTCACTGTTGCCGCAAGCCATGGTGCATAACGTTATTTTGTTTGTGATTGTACGCTCTACATCTAAAGGTCCTGATAATATCCATCCAAATAGTGTGTTGTGAGCCATTGGATAGTTGTCTGGCCCTTTAATTAATCCTTCTTTAAACACTTCTGGTAACACGTCTGACCCGATTAACAATTGTATTTCCTTTGGTTCAGCATACCAAGGATCTGCTAACTGCAATCCATCAATATGCGATCAATTTCCTGGCGTGAATTCAGCATTCGGAATTTTTGATGTAATTTTTGGTAACACTATTGCTTCGATATAATAGCTCTTATTCTTATCATGTATAGATTGAATTTCTAATGAGCATTTGGCTATAACGCTTGTTGTTTGCTCATTGATACCTTTTACTTGAGTTTGATAATTGGTCAATGGTGTACTGATTGATCTTGCTAATTGTTCTATTATACAAGATTGTGATCCCTGATCAAGAAGCGCTCGTATTGGATTAAGTTGTTTTTTAGTCCTTATTATTACCATTGCTGTTGCTAGTAAAACAATATTTTCCTTTTGGATGTTGTACGACGCTGCCACTTCGGTTTCCGTGGCGTTCTTTAATGTTGGCATCCTCTGTTTATTTATGTTATTTGTGAATGTTGGTTTGCCTTTAACTTGTTCATGTGTAAGATGATGATGTTTTTTGTCGCAAATTGTACATATTTTTTTATTCAAGCACAACTTAATAAAATGCACACTCTGAAGGCAATTAAAACATAATTTGGCGCTCATAATCTTTTCACAACGTTCCGGCACCTTCATATTTAGAAACTTTGAACATCGAATTAATTGATGGTTACCATTACACACCAAACATAGCGTATGTATTGTAGTTACATGCCTTTTTGTATTTACAGCTGTTGGTCGAAAATTATTCTTATTTTCGCGATTTGTGTCACGAGTTGCCTCCAATCTTCTAACTCTGCTCTCAATAAACTCGTATAAGCTGTTCAATTTTGGTATTTGTGTTGATGCTTCTCTTATATGTTGGTATAATTTTCTGGTTGCACCATCTAATTTTGGAAGCAGTATCTGTATTATTAGTGGATCCCAACTTGACGTGTCCACATTTAAATTACGTATACCATATAACACTTCTCTAGAAGCATCCATTAATGTTTTTAAATCTTGTGCGTTTTCATTTCTTTTTACTCTGAGCGACAATAACTTATTAATAAGATTGTCCACACGTATTGCTGGATTGTTGTATCTTTGTTTCAGCAATTCAACTGTCGCTGTATAATTGTTCGCTGTTATTGTTAAATGATTAATGAGCCTTGCGGCTTCTCCCCGCAGACTTCCTTTTAAGTACTGCATTCTTTTTACATCCACTAGATTATGGTTTTGTTGAAGTAACCTGTCGAACAATTCCCAAAATGGACACCACTCTTCATATCTACCGTTGAATATTGGTACATTCAACGGTGGTAGTTTGATATTATTACTTAAAGATGTTCTTGTGTCTGAAACGTTTTGACTACGAACGTTCAGTTCTTCTTGTAACTGAATATATACTCCTTCGTATATCGATTCCAGTTGAATGAAATCTTCATGGTTTATTGCATCATTTCTGAGCAGGCATTCATCGTGTAATTGTAAGATCTTTGCCCAAAAATTCTTTAGTTTTTCAAACTTAAACTGTAACGTTTCAACACTTTTCGTTAAGTCTATTGTCTCTTTGATCTGCAATAGACTTGTGCTTAAGATTGCTAAACGTTTGTTCGTAATATCACATGGCTCGGTGATGATGACTTCGTCATTGATACTTATGTCTTGATTCCTTGATGACCGAGCTTCCTCTTGCTCTCTTTGCCTTAGTGTTTTTAATTCATTATTAAATTGATTCTCGATTTCATTCCGTCTTTGTTGTAACTGGCCAAAGTAATGTTTTGTGATATATTCATGATCAGGCTTCAAATTTTTGATCAGATTATCATTATTGTCTTCAAATGCGTCCCATTTCTGACGCAAATTTTCCAAACGCATCTCAAAATACTGCTTTGAGTATCTTGTGGTAGAATCTTTTTTAAAATTTATCCAGATCCTCTGGATCTCACCTTCAGTTTCCTTTTGATGTTGGATAACTTGGTCTATCTCTTCGTTCTCCATGATGTCCTCTATTTGTATTTGATTTGTGTTTGGTGAAAGCCTCGGTACGCTTCTGCTTGTTTCACTCCGAAGGTACGCGTCTATTCACTTCACTCCGATATTAAAAGCCTCGGTACGCTTGTATTTACTTCACTCAGATGTTAAAAGCCTCAGTACGCTTGTATTTACTTCACTCCGATGTTAAAAGCCTCGGTACGCTTGTATTTACTTCACTCAGATGTTAAAAGCCTCGGTACGCTTGTATTTACTTCACTCAGATGTTAAAAGCCTCGGTACGCTTGTATTTACTGCACTCCGATGTTAAAAGCCTCGGTACGCTTGTACTTGATTCAATCTTAGACTTAAGTCTCTTAGTTTGGTATATTTGAAACTCATACCACTGGTGGGGGAAATTTCAAATATCCGGCTCGAAGGACCAAAATGAACAATGATGTTCAGTAACAATCTATATGTTCCTTACCACTGGTGGGGGGAAACAATATACGATTGATGAGACATTGATTGTAAGTCAATAACTGTTTTTATTTAAAATTGTTTTGTCTTTTATACAAAATAAAATGCAATAATAATTGCAAGATGTGCAATATTTACTTAAATTAATTTATTATTTAATTCGCACAAATTGCTTACTAAGCAACCTATGCGAGCGCTTAACTTATGACCTAATTTATAATTTTTTGTTGATTCGTCAACCAAAAAATTAGGCAACAGGTGTGAGCGATTAACTCATGACCTAGTTCTTAGTTTTTTGTTGATTCGTCAACACTTGTAAAATAAACGTTTTCAAACATTTTTCGTTTCGTTGTCATCACTAATGAGAAATGAAGGAGAGTTTTTTCGGTAAATTCCTGCAGTCTGTTTCAGTTTTTTAAAGTCATCATGTAGTGAATGTAATCGTTCAATTTCTTGGTATTCGTTATTTACCCAAACTGATTTTGCTATACGGATCTTACTTCTGATGTCTCTGTTTAATTGCCAATATAGATCTTATTGTGTATTTTTATACTGACGACGTTCATTTATTAATTTCACTATATCTTCGGTCATCCAATGGTTTTTTATTTCATTCCTATATGATCCAAGAGTTTCTTTCGATGAAGATATAATCGTTGTCTTGAGTCCTTCCCGTATATTATTTGGGTTCCTAGAATCAATACTACTAATGCGCTGATTTATTTTATTTTTTAATGAACATTTTATGTCATCATTTCTTAGTTTTTCTAAGTTGAGTTTAAGGTTTGGTTTTTTTTGCGAATTGATATTAATCTCATGTAAATTTTCGTCATTAGAAGATTATAATCACATGGTACATCTGCCCCCGGGTAAGTTTTAACTTTCTTAACTGAAGAACAAAAACTTAATTAGGATGAAGTCTATTTGATTTCCGATAATGTTATCAGGAGTGTCCGAGTATATAGCCTACGAGGTGATAGATTGAACAAAGTATTTGAAATCTTTAATTTATATTCTTGGCAGACCCCTCCCACCAGTTTGGTTTTAGGGAAAAACATGGAACTATTGAGCAAGTGAATCGTATAACGAATGAAATAAGACACGCATTTGACCTCAGAGAATATTGTTCCGCGGTATTCCTCGATGTTAAGCAAGCATTTGATAAAGTATGGCATAATGGACTCATATATAAGATACGCTGTTCATTACCTGCAAATGTCCACTCAGTTTAAGAATCATATCTGCATAATAGAAGCTTTAAAGTGAAATGTAAATCATATACTTCTAATAATTTCCCAATAGAAGCTGGTGTTCCATAAGGAAGTGTGCTTGGCCCTATCTTGTATGTACTTTACACATCTGATATCCCGATAAGTAGTTCAGTTGTCACCACAACGGCAATTTTATGCCGAAACAAAAACGCTGTGCTAGCTTCAAACCAACTTCAATCTCACTTATTTCGGGTGGATAAATTAAAATTAATGAAGTAAAACGTAGACACGTAATTTTTACCTTAAATCGGAGTACATCTCCAACAATTTCGTTGAATAACATTCCTATACCACAAGCATACCACAAGATAACATAACGTACTTAGGTATTCACCTAGACAAACGACTAACTTGGCGCAAACATATTGAATCCAAAAAAA